AATAATGTAAACAGAAAAGAATATAGTTTTCTGTGGCGATATTAACGCTAAAAGTTACCTATGGGGCAATAGTTCAACAAACAGATAAGGGGAGGATTTGGAGGATGCCATGGTGGAAATGGACCTAGTCTGCCTAAAGGATGGAAGAATCACCAGGATGGCCTATCAACCAGAAGAATAAGACAGTGTGCTTGACTTGGCTTTAGTCTCACCTGCACTTAGTCAACACTGTAGTTGGTATGTACTATGTAATCATGGCAGCGACCACTGTCCCTGTGTTATTCTCTTAAAAAAGGGTATCAGCACACAACGTAGGATCACTTCAAATCCCTTTAAATACACATCGAAAAATATTGTCGTAAGGAAGCTTTGGAAAATCCAAAGCCAACACAGTGAAGGTCGAAGAAAACAGCAGCAACAACCATTGAGGTCGAATGATGAGGTTGAGTCAGCGTAGGACTTGAAGACATGCTGTAAAGATCTGGCAGAAAGCAATGAAACCCACTGACTCTACTCCAGGCCTACTGTGGGAATGTAAACACACCATGCAGACCACAACAGCAGCCTTTAAAGCAGTTGCACAGCAAGCCAATAAATGTTGCCATGAAGTGTGCACGGACAAATCTCTTGCAAAATTCTGGTCTAAATGTCGTATCTTACTTTGTTATAAGCATCCTCGAGATCCAGTGCTACCGCCATAGATTCCTGTCTGTCATTTTTTTTTTTTTTTTTTTGAAAAACAAATCACCAGTGGGCACCCTGAGTGTGATATGGTTAACACCCACCCGTAGCTGATGCCTCCCAGGACATTACCTGGTACCAATGTTGAGTTCCGCCGACCTGACAGTCAATTCTGAAAAACAATCCGTCCTGATGAGGTACTGAATGGAAAACTTTGGGCCGGCAGACGAACGTCTAGCCACTATGCTATGGTGACTCTCAATCATAAGGTTATCATCAAGTGCCTAGCCAGCTGGCGTAGGCGTTCATGCATCTCCTTAAATCTCGGTCTTTGGTGTTCTGGATCAACTGCATTGATTATATTCCTCCATGCCACTGTCTTAAGCCATCCACCATCATTTCTCTTGGTCTGCCACTGCCTCTTCTACCAGTGATCTTTCCAGTCGTGGCGATTGGTGGTTTATCTTATTTATCACGAGGGGCTAGACACGAAATCAAATTTCTCCCATACCACTTGATGCCACATGTAAATGCTTGTATATAGTGATATATATAACATGACAAGAGGCGACTAAGCTTACAGACAACTGCGAACTCGTGTGAGAACCTCTCTCTCTCTCTCTCTCTCTCTCTCTCTCTCTCTCTCTCTCTCTCTCTCTCTCATACACACGTCCAATGTGGAGACAGAGGACTGTGTGGTAGCAAACATGCCGCTCAGTGAAATTAAAAGTGTGGCAAAAAACGGGATGGGGGCGGGGGGAGGCAACAAACGGGATGGGGGCGGGGGTAGGCAAAAAACGGGATGGGGCGGGGGGAGGCAACAAACGGGGTGGGGGAGGAAAGAAAACAAACAGGGTGGGGGGGGGGGGGCAATCGTGTAGTGTTGGCTGTCTATCCACAACCTTCTATCTCATTACTTTAACTTTGACACAGACAGTCTCCCATAACACTATGTCAAATTGTCCAGCCATTTCTCTCTCTCTCTCTCTCTCTCTCTCTCTCTCTCTCTCTCTCTCTCTCTCTCTCTCTGCTCTCTTCCCCTCCGTCATGATGTACTCTATATTTCTCCTTCTCATCACATAACCAAAGAATATAGATTGTCTCCTTCTAAAGTATGCAATCAGATTTCTTCTAAGTCAGTTTCGGTGAATACACCTTTACTTACCCTTTCTATCTGCCCGTCTAAAAAACTGCGTCTTTAGTGCAACTACTATTAGAGGTATCAGGACAGAATTATGCCTTAAGCTTAGAAATTAAGTAGAGAATAGGGTGTGGTGGATATTGCAAAGGGTTTGAGATATCAGGTGACCTGGGTTTTATGAATCCCTGGCAAGGCAAGGGGAAATGTATCTATCTTTCTGGGTCGATAAGCAAAACAACTTTTGGGGTTTCTTTCAACAGACGACAATTGAAAGCTTTCACGCTTATTTATCAAAATAGTCTATAACATGTGAGATAAAAGTCTGCACCTAAGTCAACTGAATGGGGCTTTAAAACATGACACCAGCCATGAAGGTCATAACTATATGAACATGTGATAAATAGGACTGCTGAAGTTCGTACTCAAGTACAAATATGGTAATCATTTTACTCTTACATAGCGAACTGTACTTTTGGTACCACGCCCAAGGTTTTGGCACTCTTCAGTTTTCTCTCTCATTAACAATATTCCATCCATCGTGTAGCAGGTCCTTTGCAGAACGTCGCTCTCATCACAGTCTGCCTGAAAGAAACTCGGTCTCTCGCCAGTTTTCCCGCCTCATGTACTTTCATACTCAAGGAGTCACTTATATCCTGTGCCCATCATCGTGTCGGTCGGCCCCTGCCCCTCCTGCCTATTACGTTAACAATATAAAGATATAAAAAATCGCTCTTCTTTAAAGACAGTAACAACCAATATATACATGATTAAATCCGCGTTATTGTTCAAGGGTATTATTGAATCCACTGAAGCCGCCACAGCAGCTGTGTTAACAAACTGAGCGAAGACAAATGTGACAGCAAAGACGCAATGGACGGACAAACAATTTCAATACTGATCAAATATAAGGAATGCCTGTCATACCGTATGTGTGTGTGTATTATGTATAAATGTGTGTATACGCAGTGTGTGTGTGTGTGTGTGTGTGTGCATGTGCGCATGCGTGCGTGTGTGTGTATTATGTATAAATGTGTGTATTTGCAAAAAAGGGGGGGGGGTGTAGGGTGTTTTTAAGGATGTTTTAATGGATTTTTTATTTCAAAATGTAAAACTTTGTACCTTTTGATGTGTTTTGGCACCTTTTCAAAAACCAAACAAAAATCTGGTACTATTCCCACAAATATTTCGCCAGCTTTAGTGTTAAATAGATATAACAAGAACACACATGATACAATGTTGTGACCCTAAGCATGATAAAGACTACTACTTTAACACCCCTCTCGTCCAGTTCATTTGAGAAAGAAAAAGAAAAGAAGAAAAATAAAAATCTCAGTAGTATAAAACTAGTCATCTAACGTCGAACAGTAACTCCCGTTATGACAAAAGCATATTTACAAAATATCACAAAGCAATAATTGCGTGACTTCGCTTTTGTACCTAGCAGTTACAATAAACATATCTAATGTGTTACTTTAACTCCCTCAGTTGCAGACAATTGTTTACTCAGACTCAAACTTGACATTACTGTATACAGTAATGAGCCGAGACAGGAAGTGTTCAGGGCGCCTGATATGCACACCGGCAGCTCAAGATGCATACATATGTAGTTTAGTCCTCACCGCACTGGCTACTGTAAACAGATGGGCAACAAAGAATAGTATAAACAGGTGTTCTCTTCCTAGTTCTACTTGTAGCAACAGCTGTCTTCAACAGTCATCCTATAGTAAGTAACAGGGTTGATAAAATACATCACTGCTTTTATTTCAAACTTACACATTGGGGTTCCTCCACGAAACACTTGACAATTCATAGGGATGCTAGTGAAGTTTCAAATTTTGGGTTTTGACTTACGAAACCATGACAGCTAGATAGGTTAGTTGCGTATCCTTTACAGGACGTTGCAGAACCAACCCCAGTAGCCCCTGGCTGTTGTGTGGTTTTTCTAGGCAAATTTATGTCCAGTAGTTTGCCATTAAATTACCTTTTTTTAAATTGCCTTTTAAATTACATCGAACAAACGGCCGAGCGTACGATGGTTTTGGAAGAGGTGGAAGCTCGAAGACAACTAATCACAGACATCAGAAGAAGACAGTCATCATTTTTTCGGCCATGTTATGAGAAGGGGGAAAATGGAACATGTGGTGACCACTGGGAAGATCTGTGAAAGGAGGGCTAGAGGAAGACAACGATAGAAGATTCTTGACAGTCTTGTTGCATGGCATGGAGGTGTGTCAGCACACGAACTAATACATGCTGCAGGAGATCGCAGATTGTGGCGAGGCATAATCGCCCACGCCAGTCGGCAAGGCACCTGATGATGATGATACACTATTCGTATTCGGCCGAATAGTTGGTCTCGCTATTCGTATTCGGCCGAATAGTGAAAATCCCTATTCGGTACAGCCCTAATTATAATAGTAACAATAGCAACTGGCAATGAGCCGTAGCCTACCCCATTGTTAACTACGACCATAGCAGTTTGGGTCGACCACACGAACTCGGTTGCATGGAGCATGTCGTAAAACAAATTCCTGATAATATTGTGTGTTGGAGACAGGGAAAAACTATGTGCAAGGGGTGTCACCGCATCAAAACATTCGTATACATAAACTCAAGGCAGGTTTTATCGCCCAACAGTAATATGTAATAGGACTTTTTCGCAACCTTAAAGATAGGATAGGTGATCGTGTGGTACGCACAAAGAATGCTGGGTTCGACAGATGTCATCTCTTGCACATTTAGGACAGTACCATTTATTATAAGAATGCAGCTACTGTATTACTGTATGTAATTACTGTATTACTGTATTACATTTACTGTATGTAGAGCACGTGTAGAACAAACAATTCATTTTAAAACTTCATTAACTATTATCACAGTATTCTACCTTAATAAAAATAACTTCTGAACTTCAGAATGAAGGTATGACGTGATATATATTTATTTATTTATATATATATACACACACCTGCGCTGGCATAATTCACACAGGCGCACACATACGGGGACGCAAACACACATGCGTGCACATGTGCATCTTTACAAAACTGGAGGCTGTTTTAGCAATTCTAGGCTGCCTAATTTTGTTTTTCAACTACAACAGTAATTAATAAGCATCGAGACTTTCTGTTAGACAGGACAGTTACACAAGATCCCGTGTTCATGTACATCACAACTGCTACACCGAGTTACTAGCCACAGATGAGATGTAGTTCTCCAACAACTGAACGGCCTTACAGTTCAGACGCACATTTGCTCCATTCAGAAGCATCAGGGGTAGCTTGAGGGACAAGGCGTCCAAGTATTCGGGACTGGGCGCATTGATGAAGGCGTGAACGTTACGCTGGGCCACACTTTTATACAGTTCTATTGACACCTCGTCTTTAAGTCTTGCTGTAAAGACAGCCTCGGCCTCCTTCTTCCATATTTTGATGAGCTGATCAGTCGTCTTTCCCTGGTATCCCACATGGAACTCCAACCAAAACAGACCATCCTCGGCCAGACGCTTACCGCTAGGTCCTGCGAGACTTTCTGCCACATTGATGCTCTGCGCAAAGCTTTCATATGTGATCACCGGCTGACACAGCACCTCGGCAGCTGCCTGCAAAAACACTTCTGCGACACAGTGCTCAATGGCAGCCACATCGGCCACTCTGACAATAAAGATCAGTTTGGGCTCTCCGCAAACTTTGAGACCATACACCGGATTTATTGCATGCGATGGGTTAGAGAAAATATCTGCAATCTTCAGTAAACATTTTGGCAAATCTATACCCATTTTCCGAGGTAAAACAGTAATCGAAACAAAATACATGTTCATATTACGTGAATGGTCGGACATTTTAAAGACACGGCTGCATCAATAATTTAAAACCAGCGTGAGAGTGGCTATTTTCACATAAACTGATAAACACTATATCGCGCGTGCATTATATTTATAACAAGACTGCGCTGAAATGAGAATAATAAGACTAAGGAAAAGCAGGCACTGGCTAGTCAAAAATGGAACAAATGGTTTCCTGAACCCTCTAAATACAAATACATTTTCGACACGTGATTTACAATCAATATTTACGTCATTCGACAACAAGAATCACGTGAAAAGTTAATTACACGCACGAAGTGCTTGGACCGACATTCGCTCGATCCATCTCCATGAAGTCCAAGGACTGCTAATCATAGCATCGTAGACATTGTATAGCAGGCGTTTGTGGAAGGTAGGAAAGCAAAGAACGGACCTATTCACGTTTCCCGGCCCATCTAACACTTTCTCAGTCTAGTCTAGGTCAGAGGGGTGTCACGTTGTACTGTTTTCTTCGAAAAGAGTCTCTCGTGGGACCCAGGCTTATTCTGTAGATAGGGGGATTTGGGTTAGGGTCAGTTCTAGATGTTATGGAGTGGTTAAAAGCTGTGTCGCAGTGTAGTATAGAACACGCGACATCGCCGCTGATGTAATTGGAGGCAAGACGATGTGACACCCCTCTGACGTAGAACAGTCTAAGAAAGCATGAATGAAAGGCCAGCCAGTGCGTAGATGAACCGGGAAACGTAGAAAGGACACAACGAACTTCCAGGGGACTAGGCTGAACGATTCCTTGCCGACTAAACCCACATATCATTTTAAAATACCACGACTTTTAAAATCTATTAGAAGGTCAGTTACTATCACTACCTTCAATATGCTCAAACCTCAATCATCACTGGCGCGGTTATCTCAGTGTCCGTCCGTCAGTTTCTATCACTACCTACAATATGTCCAAACCTCAATCGTCACTGACGCGGTTATCTCAGTGTCCGTCCGTCAGTTTCTATCACTACCTACAATATGTCCAAACCTAAGCAAACATGGAGAAGGCAAATGAAGAAATACAAAATTGCATGAGATATACAACAGGCAGAAAAGCAACATGCCAAACGTGGACACTTACATCCTCCAATGAACGTAAAATTGTGACAACAGAGATGAAATGTCTTAGAAGAGCTGCAGGAGTTTCAAGGAAAGAGAATACGAAATCATGAAATCAGACGAATGCTAGGAATAATGCCAGTCTTACAGGTCATAAAAGAACAACAAATGAAGTGGTTTGGACACCTAACAAGAATGCCCTGGTACTATCCGCCACAGCGAGCCAAACTAAAACGTTACAACGGGTATAGAGCGAGTGATGGCATTAAGAACAGCCTTACAGAAATGAACATCAGTCTTAATAGTGCTCTTGACAGAGCTCATCAACGAACATTACATCTGCCCCCGACACTTCGTTGAGGTAAAAGGTGGAAGAGAAGAAGAAGAAGAAAAGCAACACACCGGCAGCAATGGAGATTACTTGTGAATGCCTTATGCGTTAGCAGCGACATAAAAAGGATATAGAAACAGATAGACACATGCATACAGTTATTCTTTTATTTCACGATTCAAAATGACCGTAGCTGCCAAGGCACTATCACCCGTTTCAGGCTGGTTGTTCCAATGCAACAACCTTATTCTTCGTTTACATGTGCTAATGCTAATGTTTACACGCTACCCTGTAAATTTATAAACACGTGTCTAATCATAAACAAATCTGCCTGACGTCTTCCCTCGAAGTCGGAGTACATCTGCCCGTGAGGCAGGAAACGGCAAAAGCCAGTAAAACGGTTGTACGCGCAAAACTCAGGTCCAGGTAAAAGCCAAAAGTTCAAACGGACGATTAACCGAGACCTTCCGCCAGAATTCACAGCTGGTGAACGAAGAAGAAGAATAAACAAATCTCGCTAGCACCCAATTCGTGTTATTCAAATACTACTCCGTAGACGAACTAGACTACAAATATATAGCTACACGAAGCTGCACATCAGCAAAATGCATTTCGGGACCAAATAGTTACAGATCAGAGAAATATAACTGGTTGAATGCTGATGGTAGTCGCCGATAAATAAAATACTAAAGAAAAAAACTTAAACAGATGAAAGGATTGTACAGAGTAACCTCACTGGCTGTACATCGTCTACTGACAGTAGGCAGACAGACAGGACTGGTCAAAATTAAGTGACAAGCATATGCTTCCCATTCAACAAGTTCTAAACACAAGATTCGAGTCACTAGCTGTCCTATACCTGGACCAGTGCTTGCAACAAGACGGTGGCACCGGTACTACATTTCACGTGCGGCTTTATTCTCATCTGGGTAGGGTCAAACCAATGAAAAAGGACGCTTATCTAATTCACACTTCATTGTAGTTAGGCAGATAGCACGAGACACCTCAACAGCGGTTCATTATTATGAGAAAGCCAATGGAAAATCTTTAGTGCAAGACAGCCTGGCATACGACACCACCACATCTAGCATAAGAATTGAGGTGGAGGCGGTAACTGCAGCTCTCCAATGTCTAGAGAACAAGATGTATACACATGTCGTAATTGTAACAGACTCTGAAAGCATGCCGAGAAAGGTGAAGACATGGATGCTTCGAGCAGAGTGGCAAGCTTCGCTAGAAAAGTCACGGGTGGTGAGCATACTTAAGATCTTTTCTCCAGGCCATGCGGGCGTGATGGGTAATAAACAGGTAGACAGATTGGCAGGATCTGCACCACTGGGTGGTGAACTAATACCTTACAAGGTTGTTGTGGTCAAGGCCCTCTGGGAACAAGCAACGGAATCAGTAGAGATAGAAGATTATTATGGCCCGGAGAGAATGAGGCATATGAGTAATCAGAGGGTCTGGCCGGCTCACTACACTCAGAGGAAAGGCGAGACGGACATATAACCAGATTGTGATCGGTACCACCAGTATTAGAACTCTGCGTTGGCTGTTGAAGATGAGGATGGAGCATGCATTGGAATGCCTCGAGTGCTGTGATGTCAATTACTGACTTAACTATTTTAAACTGGGAGTTAGCGGTGAACCTCATTACCAAGGAAGTACCTCACAATGTCAAAGTCTAAATATTTCAGAGCATTACAGCGCATTTTAAAATGGTATGTCGCCAGGTAAGGCTGATCGAGCAATGGGGAATCGAGGCGCGGCACATTTTCAAGTCAGAGTAATACATCGATCTGCTTTCAAAACGGTTAGACGGCAAGACTATTATATTCTCGTCCTCCACCACCCCCTGAAATATTAGACTGTGCCGGGACCTGTGGATTCTTCGTATTTAGGGTGAATTATTGGGACAAAACCCTATTTTCTGTTGAATGAGGGTAAGCGCAAAACTTCCGTTTTTCTCTGCGTGACAGGACATACTTAAACGGTTTGAAATGATAGCCGTGAACTATCATAAAAAATAAATGCCCAGGCGAAGCTGTTAAAGAAAGCCTTAAGCTAATCACGAAAACAAACCGCAAAATAATCGATGGTAGAAATCGATACAGGAAACAGCCAGGAACTCTGCCTTTTGAGTACACGGTAATCAGATTCGCATATAACTCGTATCAATAACGAAAGCGAGCCTAAATAATCCCGGCGTGTCAGCATTCCCGTCAAGTAAGGACCATCCACATGCAGTGGACACCAGAATGAATCCCAGTAGACATTTCTCTAAATGTCCTCCAAAGTTCCACCTACGTGACCAAGCCATGACAAAAGATGACAGGTCGTGGACCTTTGAGAACCCGTTGCAAGACGACAAGAATGGCGAAGGTCAGAACGCAGACAATCAATACAGCCTTGCGATCGAATACAAGGGCTGGCGTAACTTCGGTGTGTGAAAAATGGTGGCTTCTCTAGCTATGAGCGACGGGGTATGAAGGGAGGAAGGATACAGGGTGGCAAAGGCGTTCGTTGTGGTATTGCCAGACTCAGTCGGCTACGGTGTCTGCGACAGAAGTTTAATGGTCGTGTGTGTGGGAAAAACCTGGCTTCCACAGGTCTGTTTGAGATAAAAGCCTGAAAGTTGGCGGCATATCCTTGATAGGCCGTTGTGGTCGAAGAACCAACCCCAGCATTTTCTTTTGCAATTTTACTAAGCAATTTTACGTTTACTATTTTGCCATTGTCGGCTCTGTGGCTGAGTCGATGCGAACGCTTTGTAATGCCGGGTTCGATACAAGCTGCGTGCCATGAGCCTTGCGTTGGTTTCGACAGTGGTATCAAGAAAGCCGATCGTCCAGAAAGAAATGGCAAACTACTGGACGTAAATTTGCCTAGAGAAACCACACAACAGCAAGGGGCTGCTGAGGTTGGTTCTGCAAAGTCCTGTAAAAGATACGCAACTAACCTAACCTATTTTGCCCTTGCTTACTAAACTGTCGGCGGTCTTCACCATAGTGTCATCAACGCAGGGCGGTCCTCTACCAAATTAGCCTGCAGTTGGAAACAAACCGGGTATTTCAGAATTACAAAGTGCATTAGTTTTTGCAACGCCTAAGTCAGAGACGCCGTCAATAATTCAATGTTGTGCCGCTTCTACAATAAAGGTTGGCTAAAGAACACTGCAGGGGTGGGGGTGTTAAGGTGAGGCCCCAATCATTTCCACGGTGCTACTCTCGTACTACTGTCTGAAACCATGCAGTGACAGAAGAGAACATTTAGTAAAGTATCACATTTAAAAAAAAAAAATTAACACAGGAAAACAGCTTTTAACACCACTGTCAGCAAATAGGCAGGGCAGGAACAACCTGTATAATTACACATCCTTTGCTGCCGCAAACCCAACTTCTACTGTTTATGACCCCTCCTCCAACTTAAAGGATAATGCATGACAAACTGACAAGAATGCTACAACACCAAGCACGACTTGCCATTCTACTTCAGTTAGTTGTCGTCAACATCCGGATATAGAAACAACTGCAGACAACAGTTGCAATCAATAAACAACGTCGCCAGGTTGTCTCACTTAATTACCAAGGTAATTAGGCAATTA